CCCGGCCCCAGGGCTCTCATCTGGCCCTGAGCGGACTAGTGGAGATTTTTGTTGGTAAAGAAAGACACTTAGATTCTCTTGAGTAAATAATTATAATTTATTCGTAAGGACTCAGACATAAGTTTAATGAAAAGAAAAAAACTATGAAAATTGGTAAATAAATTAAAATAAAAATTGGTAATTGTAAAAAAATAATTCATACAAAATTATATGTAAAAGGTAACCCAGAAACATAAAAGTAACACAAACATATAAAAAAAGAGAAAAAAAAATGTCATACAGTGTAATGTTAAATATAATTCTTTGATCATAAAACATTTAGAGAGCAAAAAAAAGGGAAAAGAATTGAGAGAATTGCAATGGCAAAGGTATATTTAAAGTATTTCAAAATGCTTTGAAGCAACAAAATTTTACAGTAGTTTTTGCATAAAATATTTAATTACAGAAATTATTTTACAAAATACCTATGGGAAATTTCAACTGGAAAAGGGATGACTACGTAATAATGTGTGGTCAATAAATAAAATCTCTCTCAGTGAAACAGACGACGAAAAAAAAAAAATTAACAATGCTTAAACAGTTTTAATTTGGTGCGTTTTTCAGACCATTCAATGCATTGCAACTCATGTAACTCAAGTCTTGACGGAGTCTTGGCCTCCTATTTTGCAGAGTCAAGGAAAAACGCCGGATGGAACACATTCATTTTTAGGAAAGTTATGAACATTTTTCCTTGAAATATTTCCTTGCAACGTTTGAAGGATCATATGGCATTCTTCCTTAGCACGGTAGCGGCAGCATTATGGTACCTAGTTAATTTAAAAAAACCAATAAGAGCAGACTTTGAAACTTAATAATTTCTTTTTCAGATTCCTTGAAGTGGCGCTGCAATTTGCCTGGCTTAAAATAATAGGTATACATTTAAATGGCCAACTTTTAACATTTTTTTTTTAAAAAAAAAAAAAAATTCATAGATAACTATGTACAAAAATTCAGGGATCCTAGTAATCTGACATGTATTAACAATTTGCGATGGCTGAAACTTTAAAAACTCACCAGTCTACTTTTGACATTTTTATACAACAAATTTTGGTACATACTAAGGTAATTTGCATTTACAAAGAAATGCATTGCCGAGCTAAGGAGAAACGCAGTATGAACATTATAATGTTGCCAAATTTTCCCGTATAAAAAATGTATTGTGAAGGAAAGTTGTGCATATTTTTTCATGAAATTTTCGGACACTTTAGTTCCAAGGGCGAGGAAAATTCACTGTATATTTGGACGAAAAATAACCACAAGTTTCCAGGAAAATCCGCACTTTACCCCGAGAAGTTTGGCAATGTCTAAAGGCATCATACAGCATTTTACCTTAGCTAGGCAGTGCAGGACTCAATCAATAAATTTTTTAATTAAATAATTAATTGAAAAGCTGTTTATCTTAACAAATACTTATATACATGTACTGTAGGTATAAGCATGTTCACTGTAATAAAAAATAGCTTAATAAATTTAAAACAATATTATTGTCATATAATCTCCAAGTATTGTATTCTTTAGTCACGAAAAATTTGTCAACACAACCAGACTTTAAGTAATTTTTGAAAATAAAGAATCAGATAAAGCAATAGTAATATCCGTAACATATAGTAATTATAAGAAATACCTAACACATTCAGAAATTAAGGTATAAAAAATATGCGTTATAAAAAATAAAATTTAAAAAGTATTCACAGTTAATACTTCAAAATAAGGATTAGGTTGTGCTTAGCAATAAGTCATGGATAATTTTTTCCCGATCCTCCAAACAAAAATTGTGATACTGACAAAAGATGGTAAGTTTGCACCTGAATGCTCACTTGGAACAATTTTTACGTGTTTGTTTTTTCTTTTTTATTTCTGTTAGTATGAAAGCACCTACAGAATCAATTTTCGGTAGAAATTTATAGGGACAGTGTAATTTTCGAAAATGAAGGCAAAATCTTCATTTACTGAATAAAACATTCAACTTGCCTTATTCTGCTGAATTATTCCACTCCTGCGGGCTGGGGGGGAGGGAGAAAGGGCCTGCAGGGATCCCCTTGGTGGTAACGGATGGTTACTATGAACAAAAGGGGCAAGTACCTAATAGAATACCTAACTAACAGCAACCCACAAGGGCCATATTTACCTAGTCCCCACCAAAAGTCATCAAAAGTCTCAACCAACATCCTCACAATGACGGATGATGATTTTTTAGTAAAGACGAGTAGAACGATGATGGGGGGGGGGGGGCAAACCGATTATTTGGCTATTAACAAAAAAAATTAAAGTAAAACTGCACCTTTAACACAAACTAGGACTGAAATAGTGGAGGGCAGTTTGGGAACTTATTAAACTCTATCTATTGAGGGAATAAGTTATTTCCTTACTCAGTTTTAAGAATAAAAAGCTGATTTGCATGATGATTTCCCTTTAAAGACCGACAAAAAGCGTGCTCTGCCAGAAGTTCAGATTCTTATTGCACCACAGAAAATCAAAATTGCACCGAATGACTAGGTGGCTCAAATGTGAGGCTCATCAGGGATAGTGTTCAAGTATTATGTAGCAGACTTTTAGTTGGGAGATAGATTATTATTTCACATAATAGACTATTATACGTAGGTAGTATGCTGTAGTCTTCCATAAGAAAATAGACTATTCAATAGCATTTCTGTGGGTTAAATTTTATTATACGGCTTGGTAAAAGCCCAGCAGCAGTAAGTAAATGAGCCCAAAATTTTAAAAGCAATCTGCGTTTTAGGGAATCTTACGAATTTTGAGCAACATTTTGGGAAAAATTCCAAGAAAATAAGGAGGGGGGGGGGAGCAGAGTATTGTTCAGCACTGAACAATATTTGAGAGAATCCAGGTTTGCTTTATAGGTAAGAGTGTAGGTAACCACGGGGGATCTTAGAAAAGTGCATGGTGTGACACTAGAACACTCTCTTGAAGAGAGGAAAACACACTTTATCTACTAGAAAAGACAAGAAAGTTAGGTAGGCGACTGCTCGACCGTGTTAAGTGGTCTTCTTTGTTGTGCCTGTGTGTCAGGAGAATGTTGATCAGAAGCCAAAGATATTTTTGGGGTTGCTAATAGGCAAGAAAAAGATGATAACTGACAAAATCGACAAAGCAAAGATTTAATAATCCGCCTGAAGGTAGCTTGAGAAATATCTGTCAACTCCTTGAAAGAAACCTCATATTATTATCTGAATAGAAATGCATACAATTTTAAATTTCCAGGTTGAGATTCATTTTTCATCCTCTTTTTAAAATTGAAGTCTCAATAGAAATTTACAATAGGGTCTTGGTTTTAACTGGCCCATAGTTACCATCCTGACTGACCACTAAAACTGGAGAGGATTCTTCGTTATAAAAAGTCATGTTGTTTTAATGTTTAAAAACAGAACGTTTTGTCACCATCAGCTTGTTTAAACTCAGCCTATTTCTTCTGATATCATTGTTTTCTAGAGCTTTCTGGCGTAGCTTTGAAATTTTAGAAAATGAGAGTAGAGACTTCAATTTTCCAAGTTCATGATGAAGAAGGTATGGGAGGCAATTAACACTTGGGTTTTCTTTCTCACTCACAGGATATTCAGGTATTTACAGTAAAGGGAATAAATATGGAAGACTTGGATCCACAAAATTTATAAACACAAAAATGCACACGACAAAACTGGAAAGTCTGAGTGGAAAGAAAAGATGACCTGCTGGCTTTTGTCCTATCAATTGTTTCATTGTTTGGGCAATCGACAAACTGGCATTTAAGTCACACTAAACTCGATTCAATTTTCAATGTTTATTGTACCTATTTCATTAAGCATAATTAGAAGTTCAACTTGGATAACTTTGATTGACTCACAAATCGATGGCAAAAGCGCAAAACTACGTACCTCTGATTGCAACATAGCAGGCTTCCTATCATTTTTAATTATTTCTTTGAAAAGCTGGTCAATGTGATTTCTTGCCTGCTTCGATTTATTCTCTCTGTCAGCAGAATACTCATCAGAAGTATAAAGCTATAAGTTGGCTTGTTTATCTTTGGAGAAATAAAATAGGTGCAGAAATTATGAAAAACCGTAATAGAGATACGTGGTTTTGCACTTAGGCTATCAAAATGAAAATTCACAAAATCACCAAGGTACCTACTCTGAGAGAGCTTTCAAAAACCAACTGCCAAATTTTTTGTCGAAAAGTAGCATATAGGTACTGACATTGCACATTTCAAAATATTTGTCCTTGCTTTGCGAGAAAACCAAGTGACTATGGACACCAAAAAACTATAACTGGAAATCGTGAGATTAAACTTTATAATAGGTTGAAAAATCATCTGCTTATGAGAGTGGGAGGAAATGATTCTCACTGGTTCAAACTTTGTAACATGACTGATAAATAAAACACCTGTGCATTAGGCTCCCTGTTGATTTTTGAAAATCAAATAAATGAAAGATTTACAGGCTCAGAATGAATGAGATCTCTTTGTATCCCCGGACAAGAACGGGAAAAATTGCGACTTTAAGCATCATTGCACCTTTTAATACCTAAACGTTTGTGGCCTTCAATAAAACAGTTACACAAGAGCCTTTATTTAGACGCATTCAAATCGAAAGGAATAAATCCATTGCGACATGACTCCTGTCAGGCAAGCATTCTTATTGATCTCAGGGCTCATGTCAGAATGGATGTAGTTCCTTTTGATTTAAATACGTCCATAATTAATTCTCCAAAATATTTTTCATTCCATTTTAAAATTGAACACAAGAGCAGACAATCAGTTGACATAATTTAATCTGAACAGAAATGTGAGGCAGAAGAATACGTAATGATAATTTCATCCTTTGAACTCCCGGGAATTGTGGAATTGTACCTTCTCTTCTGCCTCCAAAATGTTTTTGAACAAACGAAACACTGGACAGCTTTTAAAAAATGACAAGAGGATTTAAAGATGAAATGAAAAGATTACTGACCAATAGGAAGAATTTTGTTTTCATGAAAGTAAATTTATTTGTAATTATATATAGATATTTATTTCCAACAAACGCTGTACTTAGAAGCAATCATACGCTAACTGGTTTAAAAAACTGACTAGTGAAAATTGCACTTCAAAATGAATTCAGAATGTACAATCAGTGTTGTTTCCATCTTTAAAATTCAGAAAATTGCAGCTTATTTACTTGATTTACATACAAGATTGCCTTTAAGATCTGACTAATTGACAGGCAGAGCTCAGAGGTATTGTTTCATTTGCATTTAAGTCAAAGACCTTTTAGAATAATTTTTCTTAGCAGGTTTAATACAAATGAATAAGAGTCCAACTTCTTGTAAAGTGAAGAAAAGATAATGTACAAAAGAGTACGGATTTATTATTTTTTTGGATCAGCGGATGTCTGGAGCTTAGTAATGTAATAACAAACTACAATATCACATATTAAATCTCTAAAAACTTTGACAAAAAAAGAAAAAAAAACCAATATGCACAGTTAGGTATAGGATGAGAGCAGGGAGAAAACCTACTTCATAGAATCAAACCTTCCCAACTTTGCAGAATTTAGAAACTTAATAACTGCAGTAAGCAGTTAAAAAGCATTTTAAAGAGAGAAAACTGTTGTTTGAATACAAATTTGAAAAAAAAAAAGAATTAAAGCTTTTGTTACTTGGTTGGTTGTAATTATTGAACTTGAACTAAAAATTCTACATTATCACAACATATTAGGACATAAAAATCTGAATCGCAAAGAAGGTCAGGCCGACAGAAACCAGGCACCGTTGCAATACTCTTTGTAACGAGCCCCAAAAAGGGAGCACATCGTTACCACTTAAATTAAAAGATAAGAAAAATTCATTTCCTTGAAAAACAGGAAAAGAGCACATTTGAAATTCAGAAGCCATAAAACCAAATTCTAATATGTACAAGTACAAAATGAAAATTGCAGAGAGCCAATCGGGAAAAACTATATACAAGATCTATATAAAATGAATTTACAGATGGGTATTTTACCACAATCAGTAAAATGGACTAGATAAAATTTATAATCTATTATAACAAAATGTTCATCAACAATAATGGGAAATTCACAAAGAAAATAGAGCACACACCTTTTTAAAAAAATTCGCTCATCTAAACGATGAGGGTAAAAAACTTTTTAGTTTATTCAACTTGGAGTTAGGAAATTGGAACGATAGAGAGGCCTTCATTTCAATTTTCATCGACCCATTATTAAACAATCGGTGCGAAAATTGCTTCTGAACAACTTGAGACTTCCGCTAAGAATGGTTCAATCATTCCCATGGTTTTTAAACCTCAGAAAAAGGTTTTTACAATAATTTACATTGCATGCTTCAAATGTTAAACGATAAGAGGAGGTCAACGGTTTTATTGCCACAGAGAACCTATTTTGGAGGGGATGGTCTATACGGTTTGCAGTGTGCTGAACGATGGCTCATGTGTTGGCTGAATGAACCTGAATGAGAGAATTTCTTCTGGCATTTTGGACATTTGTACGGTTTCTCACCACTATGCAAGCGTGCGTGTTCTGTTAGGTGGTGTTTGTGCTTAAACGCTTTCGTGCAAAGCGTGCATTTGTACGGCCTCTGACCTGTAGAATCAAAAACAAAAATTCATTAAAATTTATTAAAAAAAAAAAAAAAAACCACAAACAGAATTTGCCATACCGATGAAGTCAGACAAAAATAAGTTTTTCAGCTTGTATGTTTGCCGTTTCCATGACTGCTGTTTGTCAAGAGGCTTCTAGAATTAGTGAGGACATTGAAAAGCAATCACATTAATTTGCTTTTATATGAATTGATGAATGCCGATAAACTTTTGTAGGGTTTGAACAGTGAGTTAATTTGTAATGAACGCTCATAATTTCAATATTTCTTGATAGAATTGGCCGTTACAAAAAAAAAAAGTTAAAGAACTCGTAACATAAATGAGAAAACTTTTAAAAAAAATTATAATATATCTAAGTTAAGGAACCTTTTTTGTAGTTTTTTACATGGAAATGCCACCTTGCTTTTATGTATGTTTTCTATCACCTTTATTTTGGCAATTTTTAACAAAAATTTTAACAAAAATTTTTATAAAATTTCAGTTTGCTAGGTTGGATATTTTGCATTTACTTTGGTATTCAAACTTCAATCTGAATTTCAAAATTTAAAAGAGTAATTCTCATGCCAATTTTTTATCATGACTTTTTGGACGAGTAAATTTCACATACACTTCTCTTTGAAAAGAACCATGAGTGTACCTACACTGCAATCCATTTTTAAATATTTAAGTAAGTTTAATTTATATTTATGTAACTAAATTTATTTTACTCATTTTTTCTTTTGAAAAATTGAATTTATGGTAGGTACCTAGGTATGCATATTAAGTACCTAAGTATTCAAAAAGATCAAAATATTGCAGTAAAAAATAAGTCTCTAAGACTAAAAACTAGGGAAGAGAAAAGTAAAAATTTGGATGAAAATTTGATACTGACCTGAGTGTTCGTACCTATGTCTAGCTAAGGAACTTGGTTTGGAGAAAGTTTTTGAGCACTGCTTGCAAGTGAACTGATCCTCTGGTTCACAGTCAGGAGGTATGGAAGCAGCTACCATTTCTAAATTAAGCTTCCGCCGTTTCACATCTCCTTCGCCCCCAGATCGGCAGCTTTCATCATCGGGAGCTTCACTCACATCAGAAAAACTCTGTTGAAAAAAACAACCTGAATTAGGCCATGGAAAATTTACAGAAATTTTATACTTGCCCTGTCGATGTTCTGACAGGGCGTGAAATTATTATCTCCCTGTCAACAATGCCTGCATGAATAAAGAGAAGATTTAAAATAAAGTCTAAAAATTGCAATGTAATAGTCCTTGCCCAGGTAAGCAAATTTTAGATCAGTGTTCACAAGAGTAAGGACTGGTTGCACTAGACGCAAAATAAAACAATGCTATTTGTCAAATGTGATTTCACTTCAACAGCTGAGCTGATGCCAATAGTTTTAGTAACAGCTAAGAGGGAATTTTTGAACAACTCTCATGAGATGGATTGCGTTTTCAAATTCATGAGAGCATAAATTTTCCTCATCTATAATTACATAAATTCTTGAAAGACTGAAAATCGCCTTTAAAAATACTCTACAAAATTAGGAATGACTTTGGGTTTTAAGTAAACTTTAAATTAGCTTTGGAATACATTACACCAAACTTTACATTAGAAACAAAGAATCAAAATCGAATCCTCCAGAGAAGAGATTTTACGTGAAGATACAAACTTTACTTAATGTGCTTTTAGTCTGATTACTCCTGATTTTTAAAAATCATTCATTTTCAGTTCCGACTAAGATAATATTGTTAATTTTTTAATTTTCAGAACAATTGGAGGAGAAATATTCACGAATTGTCCTGAAAATTCTTAATTTAATGGATTCGGAGAACAAGGTGCATATAAGTGCAGTTTTTGCTATTTTGAGAAATACCTACGTATTTGAAGTTTCGAAATTGTAAGTATGGATCCTTATGGCGGGAAGAAAGTTCAAACAGACTTTTAATGATGCTTAAAAATGAGAGTACGAAATCGAGTTTTTCACAGAATATGCATTAAAGATACTTTTACTTGAAATCATTGATAGCCCAATTTTTTCAAAAACTGCACTCGTGCGCCTTGTCCTCCAAGCCCCTAATTTGTCGAAGGAAATTTGGGTACACTGGAAAAAATAACACATTGGATCTAGAGTCCAGACTCTAAAAAACATCGACAAGAAAAAGTATTCTTGATTCAATCAGAATCTAGCTTAAATCAAGAACCAAGCCTCTCAATTTAAGCGGATTTCGTTTTGATTCAAGCAAAAATCCTATTGAATCATGAGTATTTTTTCTTGTCAATGTTTTCAAGAGTCTGGACTCTAGATCCAACGTGTTTTTTTTTCCAGTGAAGGTCTGATGGTTTATACGGCGTTTTTCCTCAGCAGAGGCGGATCCAGCAATTTGGCAACACCGGATTGCCTCCATTTAAACCTATGCTAAATAATCGATTCTTATTGGAGCACCTGGTCCTTCTAAGAATCGATACATTTCCATAGATTTAAATGGAATAAATACAATGTTGCCAGTTTGCTGGATCCGCCAATGTTCCTCAGTACGGCAGATTAGTAAAGCATGGGAAATTACCCTCTTGGAAAAGTCATTGTAGTGCATGGCGATGGCCGGTAACGGCGAATGCGACTGCATATGAGAGTTAGCGTAGATGGAGCGATCCATAGGAACTAGACTAAGAGCGTTGCCATTGGCGTGAAAGCGGACCGACGGCTGGGCTAGGATCCGCGCCAGCTTGCTGCCGTCCATGGGCGAGGGGGACCGCCGCGGGTCCAAGTATGGATGGAATGTTGGCGACTGGAGGGACAGGTTCATGGCACCGTAGTCCTCGGAGTCCGAAGAGGGGCCCTGCGGGGAGGTGGCGGGGGAGGATTTCTTCGTCGACAGGTCCAGAGGCTGTTCCGCCAGGACCGGGGAGGAGTTGGACGAGTAGGACCCGCAAGTGTTCAAAGGCTGCATGGAGGTCGGCACGGGGTACGATAGAGGAACGAACGGGATATGAACCAAGCGCCCTTCGCGCCGGTCCCGAGCGCGGTTGTTCTGGAACCAGACTTGGACAACTCGGACTGGGAAACCTGGAACAAAAAGAATGAAGGATTAAGATGAGGAAAAACATGACCGGTGATAAACTATGACAGAGAGCATAGACCGACTTTTGCAATTAGGAACTGCAATTTCTGGCTCAGGTTAGAAACAACGTATATACCATTAGTTTCCCTATACAATTGGGTGTATTTACCGATGATCCGGAAACTGTAGTTCCAAACTACAAAATGTAGTTCAAATGAAAATTTTGCATAAATAGCAATTAGGTCCGTGGTAAAATTGAACTACATTTAGCAATTATAGGAACTACAATTTCTGGCTCGTCCGTAAAAATACATACGTCTATGGGTAAACTAATGGCGCATACAGTACGTTGATTCACAAAAACTTCCTACGGCTGGGAAACTAAATCTTGCATCGTGAAAAACATGAAATCCATGCATTTCTCACGGGGACTTTAACGCAGAGGTACGAAAATGAGCGTAACGCGGTAGCAGAATGCAACACACATAGCATATGACCTCTGATAAAAAAAAAAACACAAGGGTAACACGTAACGCACTACTTGAATTCTTTTGAGCGACAAGTTCCTGGTAAACGGTTTTCTTTCTTGAAGTGAAGCTTTAATTATCTATTAATTCAATATTCCTTCAGACAATTAAGGAAGTGCACAATCTCAGCAAAATCAGGTGTTTCTCAGCACTTTTATGCACTTGATGGGGGAACTTCAAAATTTAGGTCTGTGAATAAAATGCGTCTTGTGAAGAAAGTGAACAAAAGTTTTCTTCAAAGGCAGCCCCCCCCCCATCTTTTCAAAATTCTTTTAGTACTCTTAAAATCTTCCCAGAGGATGTATTCTTTTTTCCTGACTACTTTTTTCATGAGTGATATTTCATGCCTTTGACGAAATTCACAGACGTAAATTTTGAAGTTCCCCCATCAAATGCGACTCAGGAGGAAAACTCAAGTGGATAATTACCTATTTTTTCAGCTATTTTCAGTAACTCTTCTCTCTTCGGCCGCGGGTTCATAGAATAGTGGGTTCTGAGAACGGCGAGCTGCTCCTCTGCGATCTGCGACCTGACTCTGATCTTCTTCCCGTCTTGGTCCACGTCACCATCCTCGTCCTCCGTTATGAAATCCTTGGACGAGTCCCTCAAGTCATCCTCACTACTACTCATGACGCCATTCTCGTGGATATCGTCCGTCTTGACGGACACAGCTTCCTCGAGCTTGGCGGCCAAACCCTCCTTCCTATCCTCGCTACAACAGAGGAATCTCTCATGGTGGTGCAGCTCTATCGAGTCCGCGAAAGACTTCTGGCAGAAGCGGCAGGTGAGACTGTCAGCATGGTCTTCAGTCCGCGGCGAAGAGATACTCGGGGTTCCGGAACTACAGGACGTCGATGGGAATTTCTGCATGTTCTCCGCGAGGAACTGCTTTGTGACGCTATGACTCACAGTCTCCAATATGTGTTTGAGACCGTTCAATTTCTGATCGGACGGAACCTCCGGTTTCTCCGGATCTTCGCTCTCATTCTCTGGTTTCTCTTCTTTGATCTCGGCATCCGAAGTCATCTCCTCTTTGACTTCTTTCAGAGGCGAGAACTCGGGCTTCTCGTCCAACGAGCGGGGGAGGTTCGACGCGGACAGGTGCTCCAGGATATGGGACAGGTTTAGGCCATAAGGTGTCGGGAAACCTGACGACAGGTAGAACGGGTACGGGGCTCCACCGGCGTTGGATGCGGGCGAGAAGTTGGACAGGAACGCGGCGGCGTCGTTCGGGTACTTCGGGAAGGGCGGGAAGGTGTTGTTGTTGTTGAGGAAATTGTTTGCTAGAGGTTTCGTCTGCGAGAGGAGGAGGTTTCGGTTGGGCTGGTTTATCAACGGACGGGAGCCTTGTTTGATTCGGTCTAGGTTGCGATTGTTCCCGCATGGATTCCTTTGATTTAGATTCTTGAGGTTTGGCACGAGGCATTTCTTCGATGTCATGTGGCTCGAGTACGAGCCGGAGTGCGAAAATCGCTTCCCGCAATTGTTGCAGACGAACGGCTTCTCTCCGCTGTGGATTCGCACGTGCTCCTGGAAAATACGTAAAAAAAATATTGATGAGGTATATTAAGGAGGGTGCAACAGACCATAATTAGCTTGATAAATGGCATTCTCTTTTTTCAATTTTCTTTTCATTTTCTTCATTCTTTTCAATTGTATTTTTCACTTCCATCTGAGTGATAAATTTGACAATATATGAGGACTTATATGTAACCATGGCGGATGTGAAAAATTACCTTCTCGAAACACATTCAAAAAACTGTTGTGGCATCGAGAAAATTTTGAGAAAATACTTGAGATGTGATCTTCGAGATCTGTACATTATACCAGAGCCAAACATATTAAATTTTTGTGTGAACAAAACAGTTTTTTAAGCGTGTCGAAAGGGTAATTTTTCACATCCGCCATTGTTACATGTAAGGCCTCATATTATTTTAGACCGTGGATAATTCTGTGGTATTTATTCAAACCATCTTGAATACATCCTTCTTTTCCAATAACAAAGGACTTGAATCCAAAATTCATACTTTACATTACCTTGCACAAAATAAGGACAAATACCACAAATTCTTATTTAGATGATAGAATAAATTCAATAATTTGATAAACGGGGATTTATTTTCTAAAATATAAGTCCATTCAGTACCGATTGACAGATTTTGAGACATTTAAACAAACAGTTCGAAGTTAAAGTGGTCAGATTTCCAATAAGAGAACCCTGTGCCTTAGTTGGGAAACCATCGAAATTACAGTGATAAAAAGACGCCAATCAAATGAATAAATTGTGAAGAAGGAAAGAAAAAGGGGTGGTAAATCTCTCTCTTTAACTAACAGAGGATATCAGGGCTTAAATATGGGAGAAAAAGTTACAATTCATACCACTTCAGCGATAGACGATAGACGCTCACAGCTCCTTCAATGGATAGCGTCTTTTTACACGCTGATCCCATGCGGTAACTATTCGTACTCTTAGGTCGCGAAATTGCATACTCGAAATAAAGAAGGAGTTTTGAATTCAGACTGTATTCCGTCGTGAGATCAGATTGCTTAATGCTCTGAGCACCATTCCGAAACGATCTAATTTCAAGATGGGTTCAGTAAATTTAATATTCGACAGAGAAGAGGAAAAAGCGGAAAAATTTGCTCCTGAAAATTCGAAGGAAAAATTACCTTGAGATGATGTTTGAATTTGAACGCTTTTTCACACTGTTCGCACTTGAATTTTCGGAGTTTGGTTGATTCGTCGTGACTGATCATATGCCTTTGCAGACGGTACACATTCGCGAACGTTTTGCTGCAAATTTTGCATGACTGAAACAAACAATGTCAAGAGTACATGAATATACTGGTTATGGGGTCAGAGTCACACATAACAGGAATACAGATGAAAGAAGGTAAAAAGAATGGACTTTTGAAAGAGCGTCTCCCTGTTTTAGGAATATCGTCGCGTTTCATGGCAGGTCGCCCTCTGAAAAAAGCGCCAAAAAAAAGAAGAAAAAACGGATGAAAGATAAAAATTTCAGACTGCGGCGCGACAGGGATATCAGGTGCGCGGGAGTCTCCACCTGAACTTGGCGACTGAAAAATGAAGGTTTAGGCTACCATCGTGTGACTCCTTGTTTTTTTTTCTCCAGAGGGTTTCATGTTAGCAGGGGGAGGGGGGGGGGGCAAAAGAAGCTTGGGGTCCGTCGGCACGTTGAAAGAAGACAAAATAAAGTCGAGATACGTGGAAAAAGAACAACCACCAGCTGCGTGCATCTTTGCGTGCGCGGGCTGTTGCATGATTTGGCGCGAAAGACCTTCTGTTTATCTCCTGTTTAAATGGCCGATATGATATGAGTTCGTTTCTTTCGAGAGCAAGAGATTTTTGGCTGATTTTGATATGATCTCTACTATACTTTCTACTTTAATGTTGGGTTTTCCAGAAAGCTTTTCGAGGGGGATAGGTTGTACATTAAGGCGTACTCCACTTTCTGGCGAAAGTTCAAAGCATAACTAGCATTTTGGGAGATATTATTTGATATCACGATGTATATGAAATTCCGGGGTAAAATGATCTTATTAGCTGAGAAAATAGTTACACGAAATTATTAAATTAAATTAATAAAAAAAATTCCTGAATTACAAAAGGCTATTTTCTCTAATATACTTGAAGAAAATTTGTTTCAATTCTTACAAATTGTTTTCCCTTAGGTAGAAAAAAAATCGTCTTTGATGATGAAGCTACATTTTTTTGACTTAAGAAGAGGAAGAAGAAAAAATTACTCGAAAAAATGTCCTTAAAGTAAAAGAAAAAACTCAAGGAAATACCCCTTGAGTCAGGACGGTTTTTTCCGATCAGAGACAAAATTTTCAATTACTAGGAAAAAGTTTTTAGACAATTTTTCTTTGGTATTTGGAGTGTAGCCGAGTGCTAGAAATGATGTAAATTTTTCTTTAAAAAACTTACATTTTATTAACAAAGTTTGACCGAAGCTTTTCGAAGCAGACGCTTCATCGTCAGGGTCACAAAATCGATATCACAAATCAAATCTATATTTATCGATATCAAAATCTAATGGCTTGTTATCAATTGTTACCACTGAAATCTGTTACCTTGTTTGAAATTAAATTATGGCCTTCGTGATATCGATTTTGTGACCCTGACGATGAAGCGTCTGCTTCGAAAAGCTTCGGTCAAAGTTTGTTAATAAAATGCAAGTTTTTTAAAGAAAGTTTTACATTATTTCTAGCACTCGGTTACACTCCAAATACCAATAAATTCAGTGCTACTACCTTTCAGACATTGTATTACAGTGCTCGCTGATTTTGAATTTTTCTTTCTGTGTAATCTTAAGAATCTCGATCCTGGGCTCAAAATTGAACACCGGTTTCTATAATTTCTATTCGTCTGAAAAAAGTGCATCCCTTCAGAAAAAAATCCGAATCGGTGTCGAACGGGCAACTCGGGGGATGCGAGCACGTTTGCCATTAAAAATTAACTAGCCCGTAAACAAAGGTGAGCTTCACTTCCCGCCGCGGGTGCCAAAGGGAGGAAAAACCGCGAGCGGCGGGAATAAAAAGGGATGAAAAATGGACTCGGCCAAATATTACGTGACCCCCAGCCTCGGCGCCGTGTATCGGGGGTGTTTATTAATAATAAAGAGGTTCGATCCGCGCCCCCTCCCCATCCTAGTTTGCAGCTCTCGTAAATATTATCTTCGGTAATTTTTTTGTTTTTCCACTCCTGGAGTTCTTTCGGTTTGTGGGATTTCTTCGAGGCTGAGCAAAACGAAACACGGAGGGTGGAAAAAGTAGAGGGTGGATTTTGCGCTTCGTTCGAAAAATGCTCGGGCTGTAGTTCGGTCGGGATTGGAGGGGTGATTTCGGATCATTATCGCACGAAGACTCGATAGTCAAATGAGAGATTGACAAGACGAGAGGCATAACTGCACACTGGAAAACAAAAACAAAAAAAAACCACATTGGATCTAGAGTCCAGACTCTTGAAAACATTGACAAGAAAAAATACTCTTGACTCAATCAGATTTAAGCTTAAATCAAAAGGAAATCCGCTCAAAGTAAGAGGCTTGGTTCTGGATCTAAGCTTAAATCCGATTGAATCAAGAGTATTTTTTCTTGTCGATGTTTTCAAAAGTCTGGACTCTGGATCCAATGTGTTTTTTTTTCCAGTGCACTTGTGCAGTTTCAAAAAAAAAAAAAAAAATTGAGGTATAAGTCATTTCAACTAAAATTATTGTTGACTTACATCAATGGCTAAACACGAAACCACGTATCTCCGTTTGCGACGTAGCAGACTTCCTGTCATTTTTTTTTTCTTCGGAAAACTATAACGAGGTTTTTGAAAACTTCTTCGATTTTTCCTCCCCGTTGGTAAAATATTCCGTAAAAATTTAAAGCTGAATTTTTATTGGAAAAAGTAAGATGGGAGCGGGAATTTTGAGACATCGCAATTGAGACACGTGGTTTCGCACTTCGGCCAGTGATATGTGAGAATGACTTACTAGTAAAATCCGATTTTTAAACATTAAAATGCCATAAAGCCATATTCCCGCCATAAAGCTCTATGTAATTTTGAAATTCCAAACACGTATTTCTTGAAATAGCACCCTATGATACTCGCGTCAACCGGTTCAATGCTAACATCCTCGATGCAGCCAGATGCAGCCAATCGGATCCAACACTCGACCAATCGATGATTCGTGGCGTTGAGCAGACCCTGTCAACGCCCTTTTATGACGGTGCGTTTTGTTATTAAACATACCGAATCCTACGACGCAATAGAAAAGCGCGCCTACGAGTATTAACGCCGTTGCAACATTGTGCTGATTAATTGTAATTTTAGATGATTATGGCTTTTTGTGCGTGCTCTCGTTTGAAATCAGGCTAATTTCGGGCAATTTGTACTCGCAGTTTGACGTATTTATGCTAAAAGGAACTATGTTCATAGGTTTCGTGTGCGACTTAGTTCCTTTTAACATAGATACGTCCAGTTCGTTTGGGCCTACTACTTAACTGCGCGCATTCACGACTTGGGATTGGTTTTTCGTCACGAGGAGATATTAAAATCCGAAAATGATCGTTTAAGTTATTTCCACGCAGAGATAATAAATTAGGCTCGTAAAAAGTTAGAAAATCGGTGACCATGCTCCTACCCCGCTACGAATTTTCAAGTGCGATGGAGACATTGCCAAACTGTGATGAAAATCAACACAATTCCCACTTATGAGCTCTGCGGTGTACATACATTACAAGAAAGTTTGGCAACCTCGGCGTCGTAAAAATACCGTCGACATGAGTCAGTGCGTAGGATCGGGCCTGATTTGGGCTCGGGGCAGCTAGCCGGCTCTGAAGTGGTCACAACGGACAGGGATGCCACATCCCGAAATTCGAAAAACCCTGCGTTACTCCACTCTAAAAAGCTTGGGTGGGTGGCAAGTTGGCGACCCTGGGGCTATGGCCGCTTGGAGTGACGCAGTTTGGTCAAGAGGCGGGTTCATGAGTAGCGAAGCCACGGTCATTGGGCGCAACGGTTTGAGAAAACAATATGGAAACGACCTGAGAAACCCAACCACAAAAACTTCCCACAAGCCCTTGGCCGAAAAAGTGATATACTTAACAGGAAACGGAAATGATCAATGGGAGACCAATAACGCCCTGGTGACAAAAATTCTTGAGAATTTTGATACCTTGGTATTTTCCTGATTTTTCCGGTTTCTGGGGGCATTACTTCGCTAAAACCATAGGGGTTTCTCTCAATTTCTCCCAGATCCATGACTTATCCTCCCTGCTAGCAAAATATTTTGCATGGATATCAAACAATACATTTCTTGAACCGCTTTTAGCAGAAAGGAACCAAGCCACATCAGCTATTGCCAAATTTAACAGGGCAATTAAATTTTTAACAAGAGAACGTTTGCGCGGATTTCTGTGAAAATTTCAAGGAATTTGCTTCGTCCTATGCAGAAAATTTACTGAAATTTACTTAAAAACCCGCAAAACCGATTTCATGTAAAAAATTAAATTGCCCAATTAAAGTTGGCAATAGCTGATGTGGCTTGGTTCCTTATTTGCCATAAAATGTTTCTTTTTGAGGAGTGTTATGAATATTCTCCCCTAAAATTTCTACTTAACATGGTCCACTCGTTTCTCTGCGGAAAAATAAAGTAGGAGCGGAAACTCTAAAACACTGCTTTGAAAATAAGTGGTTTTACCCTTAGGACGTCGATACATAAGTCCCCAAAGGGCTACACAAACCAGGGATCACGATAACATGTCGCTCACGGTTACAAGTACATTGATCTTTCTATTTACTTTAATTTTTTGTCTCCCTCTCTCTCCTTTTTCAATGAGAGGCGAATACGATACCGGGGGAGCTGGAACCTATCCGAGGGGCCAGATTCGTAGTTCTGCGCATGAAAGTAAAACACATGGCGCACGGGTTGATTAACACTTCATACTTCTTCGCTCCACTGGCGTAAGGGCGTATCTCGATTTCCGCATGAGCTCTAGAGAGCATAGAATTATACGGAGAATACGGCTCAAATTAAGATACGTACTTACGCCAGACAAGCGACGATTTAAGCGGTGGTTCAGGTCTGCTAGCACGCTTCGCGCCTGCTCCTAGTTCATATTTCAATACGGTAATTTGATAGCTACCGTCGCGTCGTTCGATCAATCGATTTTTTTCTGACAGAAAAGATAAAATTTTGCACCTTGGGAAGATTGAATGATGGTGAGTGATGATTGTAAAATTTGGCTGGAGCGAAAAGATGAGCTACTTTAACAGGAAAATGGCTGAAGAAATGACC